CTAAAAATAAATTGTTCAAAGAAACATTGGGTCCTTCCTTACCCGAGAACAGGACTTAACATGTCTTCCAGAAGAAAATAATATATTTTCTGGAAGAGATGCAACAGTAACATGAGGAGAAAAAAAATGCAAGTCCAAATACTTAAGTTTCTTAAAGTTAGTCTCAAAATAAGGAATATGGGTCTTTAAATAACCAGTTCAGTTTAGGTCTTAGGTTTGTATTAAAACAGTTAAAGATCAAAACAGCATGGATTTCTTATTCTGGCTGTGTTTCTATAGTGAGGCAGGTCTACATATTGGTAATGTTGCAGTAGGATTGAGAAATTTTATTTTATGTATTATTGAGAGATATGTGTGAGAGATGTTTTATGTATTTATTTTGCAAACATATATATGTGTGGGCCTTTTTTAAAAAAAAAAACAAAATACACAGTGTATTTATTTCTCAAGCTGTGCTGCTTCATTTTATATTTTCTCAGACCATTCCATATGTCTTAAAGTAAAAATGTTCCTAACAGCTTCCATTTCACATTCCCCACCTATTGTCAAGAAGAGGTTGAAGAGGATGCTACAAGACTGCAAGTGCAAGTTCTTTTGTTTGTGTCATACCTGGCCTGTAATAAAATACAAGCCATCCAGAGCTAGTGCTGTTCATTATTTTTGTACTTTGCTATGTATCAATAGAAACATAAGATCAGTTCATCTCATGCTGTTAAGTTTTATAGCATTTTAGGGTAAATAGGGAAATTCTCCCCTTCAGTTTCTACCACCTTACTGTCTCATTCTTTCAAACAAGGAAAACTGCAAGTGTTGAAGTCATCAGGTTTTAAAAGTTGCTTGTTTTGTCAAAATTCTTTGAACTTATCCCATAGAGGAGGGCAGATCCCTACCATTTTTACTTACCTTGGCTTATAACAGTACATCCTCCATACCCTTGTATCCGAGGCAGAAAGATTATTTCTTTTTCTTGTCTGGTTAGTTACCTTAGCTCTGATCTAGGCCAGAGAAGCTCCAGCATTTCTCAGCCACTCCAGGAAGGATCCAAGAATTCACAGCTGCAGAGAGAGAGAGGTCAGGACCATGAAGGCCTAACTTAGACTCTGGTGCTGAGGAATCTCAGCCTCAGGACAGACTGAAACTAGGTTTATCCAAAGACAATTCAAGTGAAGCATTTAAGCAATTTCAGCAAATTAGTACCTTGTACATGGAGAGGCAAAGGATGTTATCAATGGGAGAAGCAATGAGGCTATTAGTCTATATGGGACACATGAAATAACTGTGGGATTACCTTGGGAAGGGCTCTGGAAAACTATGATGCATGATCAAAAAAATACTACTTGCTACCATGTCTATGATTTTTCCATGGTTTAGCAGGATTGCAAGTTCTCAGGCTCATGTTTGAAAGCTTTTCTCAAGGATCCCCTTAAGGCCAAGCCTGAAAATTAAAGGTAGAAGTAACAGTAATCTTTTAGAAATATTTCACCCATTTTTCTGTCAAAAACTCTTAACCCTCAGAAAGTATTCTTGCACAACTGTTGGTATCTACGCAGAAACATCCAACTTGGGAGCCCAGACACTGACATATTCACTGCAACAGCTGCATCTTTGAGGGCCGCAGCTCCCTGCAGCATCTAAGCTGACAGTAAAGGGCTGCAGTGTATTCAAACTACTCCAATCCCTGTCTGCAGACATCCTTAACCCACCACGATCTTACTGAAACAGGTCCAACCAGTAGCATCTCAGGTGTAACTAAAAGGGGAAATGCACACTACAAACAATAGCAGTAAACATAGTAGAAATGTTAACAACCTCAAAGACAATGTGTAGCTTTCTGCATCGGGAAAGATTAGTCATGAACTCTCTAGAAGCACAGCAAGAAACTGGAACCAAAGTCCTTGAGCTTTAGTCTGTGCTCCCAGGCTGAATAGGAAGCATAGATATTCAAAAAGTTCATCCAATCTGTCTGATGATGCACATCAAACCAGTATAGGAGCTAAGAAACATATCTGCAGCAGTCATTATATTTAAAAATAACCCTATTTTCCAGGCCAGAGGCTGTAGCTGTCCATGGTGTTGGAATAGTCCCCCAGCCCCAAGCTTAAGGTTTAAATCAGTTTCATGTTTCTTGGAAGATGTTTCTCCCGCTCATCAATATCCCTCATTTTTGTGGTGGTGATGGGAATGCATTGCTATGTTATTCAAGGATCTAAATACACTGTAACAGAGGATCCCTACTAGTAAACACCAGTCCCTGAAAGAGAGCCCAAATAACATGGATGCACAACTTGGGAATGCTTTTGATACCCACGCTAAACAAAACACAACATAAAGTGGTGTTCATAGCTTCCCCCCCACACACAAAACCATCCTCCACCAACACGAAGGTCTTGAGGAATAAGCTACAAAAGCAGAACAAACAAGGGAGCTTTTGTCCATATTTTACAATATTAGTAACTGGGGTTCACAGGAAGAACATAAGCCATCATTTTTTTGTTGTTTGGTTTGTTTTGTTTTTTTTTTTGTCCTTAAATGCATGCAAGAGTTCTCAAGATGAAGCAACATTTAATTTGAAGAAAAATGCCATTTTTGGAGTGACATTCTTGCCTCATACCACAATCCATTAACGATAGAAGTCTGATTACAGACCACCACCTACCTCTCTAGGTACAAAACTTCTGAAAAGCATTTACAAAGAGCTGGCATCTTAAAGCTTCCCACATTTGCCACTTCCTAGTTAAGTTCCAATGCTTTTTTTCCAAAATTCTAATATTTCAGTTTATCAAAGGTATTTACACACAGCAGTGTCGATAGCTTGACAAAAACAAAGCTTAGCTTTCAAACACACCAAACCAGCAGAACAAATACAGGATCCCCTTTTTTCATGAGATTTATAAGCGGAAGTAGGATTTCTTTAAGCAAACTAGGATTTCAGCCACATTTGTGGATATTGAGGTTGTATTAACTCTTTCAAAGCACATTGTGTGCCTTCTGAGACTTAATTCTCACAGCAGCTAAAGCTTATTGACTACTAGGCAAGAGTTTGTAAACTTTACACGTTTTCTGCTACTCAATTTCCTTTCATAAAGTCTATTTGATCCAGATGCATGACTTCTGTAATTGCTTCCAGCCTTGTTGACCAGCCTTCCTGCCAGTAATTTGGTGACACCCAGAATTGAGGAAACACAGTCAGAAGCTGCAAAAAGTCTAGTAGTATTGATGCAAACAGATTAATTATAAAGCAGCAGAACTAATCTAGCAATTTATACAGTATAGTATATCTAGCTAGGAGGAATTCTTGAAATACACATTTTTTTCAATTTAGTTTGGAAAGAGAAGCACTCTATCCATCGTTTTCAGCAGGCTTTCATATCCCTTGAGGGGAGCCCTGGTTACAAAGCAATCATGTTCCCTTGCTCAAGACTTGTTTAATTGCCATTTTGTTTTCAAATCCTTGCAGGTTGTTTGTTAGCTTAACAGAAAATCCAGATTTTTTTTTAATATAGCGGGACTAGCCCTTTTACCACCAAAGCAGCAGGAGCAAACAACTTACTGCGAATGCTGGTCACCTGCCAGAAAATACATTTCTGTGAAGAGGTATTTTTCTGCTCAAATCTCCATTTATCCTGCAAATGGCAAAAAGACATGATTCAGAGAATCAGGAATTATTCCACTTACAGCCAGTAGTGGAAAAGAAAAAATGGGGCAGGAGGGAGATGTCAACTTCTCCTGTCCTTTCCTTTGGATTCAGCACCACATTCTTCCCTCTGCAGAACAACTTGCTTCCTCTAAGCCTGGTCAGGGAGTCCAGCCCTAAAATCCCAGCACAGCTGCTACGTGAACTCCAACAGCTTCTAAGAGGAAGGAATTAGACAGGAAACAGTTTACACTATGGATTAACTTTTGCCCTTTAGCATTTTAAATGTCTTTCCAGAACTCTATTACCCAAAGTCCAGCTGAAAAGGGAGCTTTTTCCTTCCCAGACACTGAAAGGTCAGATTAACAGGCTGCCTCACTCCTAATGCTGTTCAGTGGGGATGAAATCAGCTGACAAAAGATTTATGTCTCCACTCCTAGATGAAAATCTGCTCCAAGCCTTTGAGGGAAACCCTGGGAGGGGGTGAGGAGGGAAGTGGGCAGGCAGCCTTTCCCAAAACCTGTTTGTAGGTGAAGCTGGTTGTGATTTTTATCCCATACTCTTTCCAATATAACCATAGCTTTCAAATAACAAAATATTAGACAAACTCACCTCAGTTTTACTTCATAGCTCTGCTCCTGGAGAGCTATGAATGCTGCCACCCTGTGGAGGCCAAAATATTTAAGCCTCCTATGCACTGGGAGAGTAACCAAACAGAGAAGGGACCTGCTCTGAAGCAGGTGAGAGAGGGGAAGAAAAAAAAAAAGTGCCTGGATGGCAATATGGAATAGCACAGGTTGCAGGTAATGAGAATGGGGCTAAAAAACAAATTGCCTTAAATCTACTAGAGCAGAGAAATCACCAGGAGGAGACACTTCCTACAGGCAGCAGGGGTGCTGCACAAGCTCACCCTCCAGGGGCTTTTTTTCTTCTCAAATATACACATTTATGCAAATACATTTCTTTTGCCCATCCCCATAGCAAGCAATTGGAACAATGCAACAATTTCCTACTGCACATCCTTCACACAGATCTTTTAGGGCCTTCAAAGTTAAAAATAATTCCACTCATGGCATGTCAGCTACTGTAAAAACACCCATTTAAGCACGTTAGCTCCTTCAGAAGATACTTAGGCTTTGCATGAATAAAGCTCTAGTTTGTTTAGCGAATATGCACTAGATAATCAGGTAACGGAGTAAATATTTCATAATATTTACATCAAAATATCCTTCTCAAGTTTGCATAGCATATTACAGTACACACAGGTATGTGGTAGGCAGCCTCAACCAAAAGACTTAGCAGACGCACAAGGAATGCAGCCTTCTTCAGAAGTTTGTGTTGGTACAGAAAGACACACTGGATACAATACTGTTGCAAGTTTTAATGTTTATTTCCCCAAGACAGCCTAGCCTGCACTCTACTTGGATAAATTTCACAAGCTAGTTTCCGCTGCTTCTAGTTTTAAACTTTAACCATGTTTCTGATGACAAGGAATGCTGCAAAAATACTCTAGTCCAACAAAGAGTTATGATCACAAAATAATCTTTATCCATTCTACAGTGTTTCAGAATTACCAGTTGATTTTAAAACACAAGGTAGATATAGATGCTAATGGTGGCTAATCTGGTATGTTTTATTATAGCAAACTGTTGTTCATGCAACACTTGTGCTCAAAGGGGAAGGCACAGCATTTCCTACAATGAGCCACCTTATAAAGAGTTCATTTTGTACAAATTTGTAACGTCACCTTTAATTTAGTGTGCAGAACCTCAAAACTGAGGCATTACTCCAATTATAAAAACACTTGCATCCATTTTATGCAAGTTTTAAAAATACAAAGTTGTCTCTCTAAAGTGGCTCAAAATAGATTGTTCATGGCTGCCTACATCTAAGATAAAAAGAGTCTAAAACAATTGGATTAGGCATATTAAAGGTGTTCAAACCATGACTTGATTTGTACATCTATTCACACCTCTTTCGGTCTTTATTCGGCAGTACATATGCACCAAATTTCATTTTTAGAAGTTTCCATATCATTTTCATAGAAAACAAAGTTTGAAAACAAGTAACATTGAAACACAGCACGGTATTCTACCACAACGGAAACATTTGATTACAGGACTCAACAAAATCTAAAAATGAACTATGCTGTAGATTACCACATGCAAAGGTCTTTATGTTGTCTTTGAAAATGAAAAGGATGAGATTTTTATTACCACATTTTACTGCTTTCTACTATTATGGCAAATTGTGTACTGCAACACAGTCTATTTGAAGGGAAATGTATGATTTTTCATGCAAAAATCTACAAATTAGTTTTGATGATATGGAAAGCTTTTCATAACATCAAACATTCATCTGGTGCAAATGCACAGGGAAGCCTTCCTGAAAATTCTGACTTTACGAACAACTAATAAGCCATACAGGAAAGAAATTAAAAATAACTAAAAGAAAAAAATAAAAAGGGAAATAAAAACAAGAAGAAACACAGGCTGCAGGAGTAAACCAGAGTCTGCTGCTAAACCGGTCTTTTTTTTTTTTTTTTTTTTTGTCCAGTGTAAGTTAACACTTATGAACTCATTTTGATGATCTACTAGGTTTGTTATCAGCCCCCTGAAGGTGAATCAAGCTTGCATGCGTTCACATACAGCATCACAACCATTCTCTCGTACACACGCCACGCCAGGACTAGGAGGCTGCTTCATGACTGAAGAGCCCCGCGGTGGAAACGCCAGCCTGGCTCCCCAGCATCGAGTCCAGACATTCACTCAACGTTGTCCATTCACACGGTGCTTCATAGCAAGGCCTGGGCTCATTCTCCTTGGGCTTATATGGGCATCCTATTCTCTTATGCTTACAAGGCTTGATGATGATAGTACTGCATATCCCCCCCATTGCTCTAGTAAGTCATTGTTCCTTCTCAGGCACTGAAGATCTTTGACCTGTAGCCCTTTTTCTTTGAACAATCTAAATAAGCATTCAGTGTGAAGTTTTTCATTACATTTTGCCACTCATTCTCACTCGCACCCACTCGCCATCTTGACTTCATTTGGGCTTTTCTGTGATTCCAAATGAAATCTTCACATTTTCTTTCCCGATTTAATGCAGCAGCGGATCCCATGAGCCAAGATTGATGGATCAAACCTTATTTTTTTTTTTTTATTCAGTGCTGCATTGTACCTAACTTCCAAAACACCACTCTAAAACTGGAACCCTTCTGCTGGTACATTGGCAGATGAATTGAAACCAAATGTTCCGCCTTGTATTGCCTCTGGAACAAGGCTAGGATCTTCATCAATCTGTAAGAGAACAAGGAAATTAAATAGGTACAGAGTAACCAAAGTCTAGCTAAAAAATAAACTGCCAGACAATCCTAATGAACATTTCACTTCAGTTTACTACATTGCATTACATCTTCCCAATTTTCTACCACATCTTAGCAAAGTTTCCAAGTTCTGTAGCAGGTATTCCAAATTTAAGCTGCTAAAAACAGTCTTCTGTCTTCCTGTCATCTGAAAGATGACCGCAAAATACCTTTCTGGCATAATATATACTTCATGGCAGATAACAGGGCATCAGTTCAACCAAACTTTACCATTTTGCTATATCTGCTCTTATAAGTTCTTCAACCAAACAGAAGACATTAGTTTATGGACTCACATGTGTCTTTCTATGCAGCTAAGTTCTTGTTTAAAATGCACATACATTTAAAATAACCTTCTGCTGATTTACATCATATATTTAAACTGAAAACCAATGTTCTGGGTCAGTTCTGGGTCATTCAATACAGCAGAGAGCTTATCAGATGTGAGAAGCCAAGTTTAGTCAGAAACTGGCAGTTACAGAACTATTTTAGGTCTCATCCTTAGGGAGAAAGGATACTAGGCTTCAGTTAGGCGTCAGACCTTCACATGCTTCGTTATGAAGCAGCAGCCATGCAGCAGGGTAACATAAGGATTCATTTTTCATCGAATCTCATAAGTTTACTAAGCGAGTTCTCAACATCTTAAGCACCCTAAGCTTAAAACCAAATAGTACTTCGCAAAAAAAATGCATACAGTACAGTATGCATACTGTTAAATGCTTTAACACTTTATTCTTTAAGAAACAAACAGCAGCCAGCAGAGCAGAAGTGCTCTTTAATAGCATGGCTGCAGAAGATAACACAGAGGTAATGGCAGAGAGTCAAAAATCCTTCTTTCTGATACGGGGTACCCATGATGTGCATTTTATCAGCTTCCTCTATGCTGTTTTTTAAATTGAAAGTAGAATGCACACAAATAATCCTAAACGATGCACTGTATTTATCACATCATTGAATAATATTTTAAAAGATTTTAGGCACTTAGTTCATCCTGTTGGAAAAACTACACTTAAGGTACCAATGGACAATTTACGATTCTTTCGGTCTCAAACAAGAAAATCATTCAAAATCTATGATTATGAACACAAGGTCCATACAAGTGAACCAGTGATGATAAACCTCACTTAAACAGGAGTTATTATGACAAATGGTTAGCACCAGTGTAGTTTATACTTGCTTCTTATAGTGGTAACATCTAGCAAACAGTTTACACCAAATTTTGCAATGCTTTTCCTGTAACACAGCTGATAGGCATTTCCCACCACTGGGGAGCTGTACGTCTAAAGGGCTTCAGGCAAATAAAATTAAGTGAAGATATCAAGTATTCTGCCAAGCAAGAGCACAGGTTGGAAAATACTACATTTTCAGTAAAATAACTATTCCTAGAATACTTACGTTAATTCCAGATTGTACAAAATACAATCTTTAAAATAAATATTTGTTCTTTTGTAACTGTATACGCTATACTATTTGAACAAGTAAATCCAGTAAATAAAGCATAGAGGAATACAGATTAGAAAATATTCACTAGAATGTATTTCTTCAATAATGATTGTTTTAAGATGTGCTTCAAAAACTCAGAGTCTCTCATTATTGCCTGTAATGAACTATTCAGAAATGCTGTGACACCAAGTTAGAAATTTCATGAGTCCTACAGCTCATTTTTAGTTTTATGTTTATTTACACTTATAATTAGTTTTATAATCTGTCAGTATTAGTCTAATGGAACTTTAATAAAGGAAGCTAGTTATGGTTTCAATGAAACAGCTCAATTATATTCACATCCCTGAAATGAAACTAGAGTTTTAAATATAAATTATCCACAACAGGACTGTAAGCGTACATCAGTAAATTTGGTACAATAAAAAAAAACCTGAAAAAAACAAAGAAGTATCAGAGCAGGCATTATTAGAGTTGCTGTGTCTATCTTGAATCATCTTTATAAATAAACAATTTCAAAAGCAGATTTCATAGCTATCAGGCACTTACATCATCTGAAGAGAAGAACTGATCAATGATCTCATAAGCCAGTTTGTAGATGTCTTCATTTTCATGATTTTGTAGCTGTTCAATTTTCTCCAAGCCTAAAGGAAACACATAGAAGATAGAATTTAGTTAGAATTCAAAATTCAGTTAAAATAATCTTCCTCTCCCTGAGACCCTATCATAAAAAAAAAAAAAAAAAAAGGATCTAGGAATAAAAGCTTCATTTGAGCTGCTTAAGCATAACCTCAGATATTCAAGGAAATATATAAAAGACTGGGGCACACATATTCCAACAACAACTTTTAGGAAGGAAAAAAGTTTAGCACTGATAGTATTTCTCTCTCCCCACCACGAGTGATTAAGTTAATCAGGGAAATGAGCAGAAATCAAGAGTTTCACTGATGTGTTGGCACCTGGTGTGGCAGCCCCTGTCCTCTGACATTCAAAACCCACTCATGCTGTCTGCAAAATGCACACGATCAGTTACTGACCTGCAGCTTAACTACAAACCAGAAACTCCAGTACAATAAAATTAGTAGCAGATATGAGCAAAGAACGCATACACATATTAGAAACTTCTGACTATTATCTTTATGTTTAAAAAAAAAAACCCCAAACAAAGTATTTATAATGCCTCAGTTTATCAGTGCTCTCTTTCCCTGAAGACTTTCTCTCAGTCAACTTAAATAGCAGCAAGTCTAGAAAACCTGAAGCTATTAATGAATTTCTACTGCTATTATATTTCTACAACTTTTGTATGTAGAAATTCTTAATGATTCACCCAGACAGGAAAAGTGATTTCACTGAAAATCCTGGCTCCAAACATTTGTGCCAAGACATAGTGAAGCCCACAGAAGCAAAATCATTTCTGGAAATTCTGCATAGAAACATCAGGCATTGTACCTCCACACTCTTCTATAAGATTGGCTATGGTTTCTGCTTCATCTTCAGCCATTTTTAATATATTACTTAGTCCATCCAGAACAACTTGCACAACTTGTGCATCTTTTACTGTTAGCAAATTGCAAAAGGGAGGAATTACATTTTGTTGAATTAAGTATGCCACCTAGGAAAAAAAGGAGAACTGGTTCAGAATCATGAGAGAAGCCAGCAGGGCACCGCAAATGCACACAAACTACTGAAGATGTTCAGTAACACAACAGCGTAAGACTCCAGCAATCATCATTTCAGATATGTCTTTTTATGCCTCAACTATCATTTATGAGTTAGGTTGCAAACACACAAGTCCAGATCACTTCGACAAGCAGTAAGTCCTGTAATGTCTTCATTATTAGAAAAGGAGTTTCAATTTGATCTTCCAAGAAGGATAAGCTCCCTCCTGACACAGTAAATAATCTGGGTTAACAAGAAACTTGAGCATTTGTACTCAATGGCTTCTGCCCAACATTAACAATTAATCCCATTTTCATTTAACTTGCTGACATGCAAGAAACACTGTCTGTCTGTAGCTTCCAAACTTGTACTTTCCTCAAGGAAAGAGCAGGTCAGATGCTGAACAACCAGAAGCTTTATCATAGCTTCCAGGCCACATCAAATTCCCATTGATAAACCTAACCCACATAATTCCAAAACTGGAAACTGAAATCCCTTTACAAAAGGGGAAAGAAGTTACTGAGCAGGGGAGGAATACACACTTTGATAGTCTTGAACTAAGCTACAGCAATGCTCTCAAATGCACTTAAGAATGAAAGATAAAGGACTCCTGAAAGTTTGACTCACTTGGTCTTTTCTTCCACTGATCGTTAAGTTGCTTATTGCCCAAGCAGCTTCCTTCTGAGTACCAAAGTCACCCTAAAATACAATAGTAATTAGAAATAATCATTCACAAATTCATCCTGTTTAATATAGTACTCTGGTAAAAGTTTATGTTTGTTACAGTCATTTCTACGTGGTATCACCACATCACTTTAGCTAAGGAGGAGGTAACTGAGCACCTGTAGATGTTTATGTCCACAGTTTTCACCCCTTCCTTGCAACCATGTTCTTATTGCTCCTCTAGAGCAAGAGAAACTTGTTTGTATCCAAGGAAAACAGCTGCAGTACTCTTTCCTGACTTCTGACACTGCTTATCAATAGCTGTCATAAGTAAGTGAGAGATAATGTAGTGAGTGGCAGTTTTGATAAATACTGTGCACTGAGCCAGCCAAATGAAGTCTGGCTCTGAAGTTAGCCCACTCATCTGAAGATCAATAATTGGTAGCAAAGAGCTGTTCATGAACAGCTCTATGTTATTGGGGAAAAGACACAAGTACTTCTTCAGTCACAACCCCAGCATGGCACAGGACTTGGCATTTTGCACTAGCTGAAAGCATCCGGCTGGTATTTCACTTGCTTCCACATTTCAGGAAAGCAAAGACAAGCCATGAATAAAGTAGAAAATATTTGAAAGACCAAAGCATTGCATGCTTTTCCCCTATTTAAAAACACCCTTTTAGCCACACTTTATCCTCGCAGTGGAGTTACTGTGCGCACAATGCAACTTGGAAATTGATGTTTTTTAAATAAATAGTAAAACTCAACAACTGAAATGGGATGCAAGTATTTGAATGCCAGCTAGATGATCCACTGGCATTCAAATTCTGGTTCTGAACGTGCCAGGAGAGGCAAAACAAGAGAAAACCTTCCAGAATGTTTTACCTGCAACTACTTCACCTGAATAAAAAAGTAATTAACCCCCCTCCCATAAACAATATTCATCTTAAAGGCTTAATCTGCCACTGAAAAGAACACATTTACACATGCATATACGCATATGCATATATGTATATGGTAAGTAACAAAAACCACTGAACACAAAAGCTACATGCTTTAACAGATACCCATTTTTGATGCAGTTTTACCAATTAAAAAATGGTAAGGTTAATAAATACCATCACTGAGCACCTCCTTATGTTTCCATGTAACAGAAGTAAAAAAAGGACAAAGCATCTAGAACAGGCAAAATGCTGGGAACTAACTTAGCACTGTTCCCATGCAGATCTCTGTACTACACAGAAGAGAAAACTCTAGCATCACTGTTTACAAGGACAGAGGGAAAAATAAGAAAAAAAAATACAGGATTTAAAAGGAAATTGGAAGGAACTTTCCTAATGCATTCAGACATACATCACCTGACAGCCCTTTACAAATACATTACTGCTGGTTCAGATATTCTTTTATCTTGCAGCAAATGGAAATGCACACGGAGCTCGTTTACCAGCTGGTCAATACCACCTCCCAGTTTCCACCCACACCAGATTTTACAATACAATGTGAAAGGTAAAGCAAGAAGTCCAACGCTACTTTTCCTACTTAAGAAAATAAACAGTTAAATCCTTGTTATCTAACCTTATCTAGAAGATGTATTATCATTGGAACAAGGTTTGCATCTATGACTGCCTGAACTTGCTGCTGATTTCCTGCAGTGATGTTAGATAGGAACCACACTGCTTCCTGCAAAATAAAAGGGGTTACTGAAATTAATTCACAAAGTCTTCTATCCCATATTCTATTTTCAGCTCAGTTAGCTTTTATACATCCACATTTTTACAATTGATACAAGAGCCATTCTGAAACACAATTGAAGACTTATTAGGTCTATTCTGTGTACAGCAGAATTCCTAATAACTGTAACTGAAAACTACTTCTCAGGAGACTCCACAGGGCTTTTTCGTCTTTCATTGTAAAGGAACTACAACCCAATACTCCAAATTTATAGATTAAAAGGAAAATTTAAAGGCAAAGTCACAAAGCTACAAACAAGCACTCAGAATGGATTCTGCTACTGAAAGGGCATGTTGGTGTTTTCAGCTGACTGCCAGAGCAGCTCCAAAATGCCTCACAGGATCATGCATTTCACAAGGGATAAATAAAAGATGTTTTTCTCCTGTTCAAAATTGTGTCTCTTTGCTAGTTTCAAATCAGAGTGTGCAAGAGGAGACCTTTTCCCCTGTGGGCTCTCCTAGGCCTTGACAGTTGACATTTTGAATTGAGCCAAATGCTGCATTTGGATTGATCTATAGTCACAAGAAATAATGAAGACAAAGACATAAAATCAAGTACAAAAAGAACAAGCATCTCCTTGTTTTTAATCTTGTAGTTGATAAATTTCTCTTCTCCTTATCCTACATGACCTTTTGGATGAATATTTAAGTCTAACACAAGATCCATAAATTCCTGTGTTTGTGTGTGTGAACATTCGAGTCTCTTGGATCAGATCACAGGTTCGTTTTCACTAATGAACCTGTCAGAGATTTTTAAGATGCCTAGGCTAGTCTGGTGAGCTTGTTTTGGGCTCTAATCATCGGCAATGTTGAAAAGCAACACCCCAGAATTTAACAACATGCCTCAGATGCACTCCGGAATCAGCACTTCATTATCAGTGCCCCCAGTTTATAGCCTTTTATATACCACACACAAACACACACACACACTGCCCTCACCCCCCAAAAGTTTAATTCAAATGCTATTTACCATACACACTCCATTCAGAAAGACATCAATTATCTCTATTTCATCACTTCCAAGAGAGTCAGCTTGATTAAAATAAGTTACCTTTACCTCACATATCAAGAACTAGCTTGTATATCAATAGGTAGCACTGCAAGATATAACTTCATTTCAAGAAAAAATTACTTTGAGTAACTGAAAAATTACCATTCCTGTCAAGGACAAGTTGGTAACTCCTCAGATATTTTAAGTATTTTGAAGAGGAGGGGATTCAGCACCCCATGTCACTCAAAGCTCTATCACACTAACTATTTATGTAATTCAAAATACCCAAGTCAAACATCAAATAATCCTCAAGCAGGCACAGTCTCTGCAGTTACATACCTTATTAATTTTTTCTTTGGGATGTGTCAGAAGCGCTGGAAAATGTGAAAGAGCTTCACAATTCAAAACTACCTGTGTCTGTTCATCGGTACCAGTGACAATGTTTCCTACAGCTCTCAGTGCAGCAGTCTGAAACAGAACAAGTTCTGCTGAAGTTCTTTTGAACAAAAACGATAATTTCTTATAAATAGAAAGGACAAAGATTTTTCTAATTAAAAAAAGTAAAGTAAAAAAGTAAAAGTAAAGCGTTTTAAAACGCTGCGTGGTACAGCTTTCGCAGAATACGTTTTAAAATTTAAACATGAACAATTAAAAGAAACAAACTATCTCGCATTACACTTTAAACTTTTTCTGGTAGTTATCTGAACATACTTGCACTTTAACTTCTTGATGACTGAGAAGAGGAACCAAATGAGGGACTATTCCAGAGTCTATCACCATCTGGATCTGTTCATTGCCAGCATCCGTTAGATATGAGAGTGCCCAAACTGTATCTACCAATATCTTAAAAAAGAAAAAAAAAAAAAAAAAAAAAAAAAAAAAAAAAAAAAAAAAAAAAAAAAATAATAAG